AAAACAGTAATGGTATTCACTGGATCGCATGGGACAAACTCTGCACACCATACGCTGATGGAGGCCTGGGATTTAGAACACTTGAAGAATTTAATCTAGCCTTACTAGCTAAGCAATCATGGCGCCTTATTCGCTTCCCAAACTCCCTGTTGAGTCGGGTTCTGAGAGGACGTTATTTCCGTTTTAGTGATCCCTTACACATAGGAACCTCTAATCGCCCTTCTTACGGATGGAGAAGTATAATGACGGCCAAACCTCTCCTCGTCTCGGGCCTTCGGAGAACGGTTGGCTCCGGGATGTTAACCAAAGTTTGGGAGGACCCTTGGATCCCCACTATCCCTGCGAGACCCGCCAGGAGTCTTCTTACCACCAGGGACCCTCTCCTCTATGGCAATGATCTGATTGACCAAACAACAAAGCTTTGGAAATTAGACCGTCTTCAAGCTCTGATGGATCCAGCCTACATTCCACTCATTCTAGGGATTCGCCCTAGCCGAACCTACCTGAGCGATGGCTTCAGCTGGTCTTACACTAAGTCCGGCAATTATACTGTTAAATCAGGATATTGGGCCGCGCGAGAGTTATCTCGTCCTACTTGTGAACCCCCTTTTCAGGGACCAGGTGTTTCGGCACTTCAGGCACAAGTATGGAAGCTTAAAACTACGCGAAAACTTATGCATTTCGCGTGGCAATGTATCACGGGTTGTTTGGCTACTTGTCAGAGGCTCTCTTACCGTCATATCGGAAATGAGAAGGAAGGAGTGTCCTCGTTGTGGGGGCCCAGAAGAGACAATAAATCACCTTCTCTTTGACTGCCCACCCTCGAGACAAATCTGGGCCTTGTCACCTATTCCCACTTCAGGGCACCTTTTCCCTAGGAACTCTCTCTTCTATAATTTCGATTTTCTTTTCTGGCGCGGAAAAGAATTCGGAATAGGAGACGATATCATGGAAATCTTTCCATGGATACTATGGTATATATGGAAAAGTCGAAATAGATTCATGTTTGAAAATGTCGAAGAACCTCCTCAGGAGACTTTAGAGTTGGCGATTCAAGAGGCGACTGCTTGGAAAAAAGCAAACCTTCACAAAAGATCGTCTGTTGACCCCTCTTCCCTCGGGATACCTGTTGCTCTCCCCCCCATTTTGAGTGTGGAATGTCAACTTGACGCTTCCTGGCATGCAGAGGACTCCCTAAGCGGGCATGGTTGGGTTTTGGTAGACCAAGATAGAGTTCGCCATCTAGGACTCAAAAGTGCTCGTCGTTGTCTCTCTCCTCTTCACGTTGAGTTTGACTCCTTGTTATGGGCAATGGAATGTATGATCTCGCTTGGCGCGTCTTGTGGTGCCTTTGCCTCCGATTGCGCAGATTTGATCTCCCTCCTCGATAATCAGAAGGATTGGCCTACTTTTGCTTCGGAAATAGCCTCCTTTTGTTCTCTCCGCTGTTTTTTCTCTTCTTTTAGCATTAGATTTATTCCTCGTACTTTAAATTGCCGGGCTGATGTTTTAGCTAAAAAAGCTCGGCGTCGAAAGAGTCTTTTTTCCCATGTAAGCACTTCGGTTCCTGATTGGCTCTCCCTAGCGGAGAGTCTCTTTCCGAGATCTTAATATAATGGTGTTTGAGGAAAAAAAAAAAAAAGACTATTTCTTGGATTTTAATCTCATCGGCCCCCTCCCCTCGAATCATTCTCTAGTTAGCCCCCGAAATAAAAAACTTGTGTTAAATTGATTATTTTAATTCTGAAAAAGAGTAAAAGACAAATAAAACTTGGTTTTTTCAACTTATTTACTGACCCAACCTCAATTTGGATCTAGATCCACATACATTGGGTCGGATTTTGGATCATTTAACCCCAAAAATCTCAAAATCGTAAAGTTCCAAAATCAAATCCCTAACTCTAATTTTTTTCCCCTTTTCTCTAAAAAAAAACGACGAATCGTCGTTCATCTCTCCGCCGTTCTTCTCTCGTCGCCGGCAAACCTTCTTTTCTTCCCTCTTCTCTCCGAATCGAAACTCTCATTCTTCTTCGCGTTGGAAATTCTTTGTTAGAAATCCAATCCAAATCCATGTTCCTCCGTCTCCTTTCTTGTAAGCTATAAATTCTTCATTCTCATTCTTTCTTTTGTTTGATTTCGATGGATTTTGTTGGGTTTTGTTTGTGAAACGGATGATTTTTCGGATTTGAATTTGTTGTAATTTTCGGATGGAATTTGTCCCAATTTTCGATTTGAATTTCTCTGTATTTTCGGATTTGAATTACTTTATATAGATTCAAAAGGATTCCGATTCAAAATGTGTTTAAATGTGTTTCGGATTTGAAATTTGTTGAAAACCCAAACTTTATCTCTTATAATTATGTAGATAGATAATGAGATTATGTGAGTTTGTGTTTGGATTTCTCGTTTATTGTCTTGGTTTAGACAATGAGAGTTTCATAGTGACAAAAAACCATCCGTATTATTTAGGTAGAATTTAAGATTGCTTTTGAATGTTTGATATTGAAGAAGGAGAAGGAGAAGGAAAAAGAGAAGGAGATGGAGCAAGAGCAGGCGAAGCAGATGGAGCAAGAGAAGAGTTCGGCTCCTATTTTGGTCTCTGATGATGAGTTCCGCTTGTATTCTGGTATCTGATGTTGATGTATAAATTTAAGTGTTTAGGTACAACTGGTACGATTAGGTACAACTATGTTTCTGGGTTTATGTTTTTTTGATTATGTATGAATCTTTGAATCTGAATCTTAACTTTTTATGTATGAATCTATGTATTGAATATAATCTAAGCGTTTTGAACCAAAAAAAAAATCTAAATCAATAAAAAAATCTGACAAATATATAGGTTTCTAAGGGCTTTGGAAAAAAAACAAAAAAAAAACAGTGAAATATCTGAAAATATCTAAATATCTAAAAAATTCTGACAAATCGCATACCTGGCGCCGTTATTTTGAAAAAAAATATTAAATAATAGCACAAATTTGTTCATAGTTGTACAGTTGCACTCGGTTGCACATTTTTGATCATAGTTGTACAATATATAGATTTTAGTAAATTTAGTTGTTATCAACTCTAATTTAATTTTGTTGGTGGAACCGATGGTATTGCCTCATAAAAATACCATTACTTTGTATATGTGCATTTATATTTATCAAAATACAAGGATTTCAAAAATTTATAAAATTTTAGTTCAAATCTACAAAGTAACCATGAAAGTATAAGGTTGTTAGTGTATGAATGTGAGATTTTGTGGTAACAATTTTATTAATTTAGAAAATATGATATTTTTTGTCAAAAACTTGTTGTGTAGTTTCATTACCATTGTGTATGCAATTTTTAAGTTTTTTTTTTAATTTGGTTTTAAATTTTCATATTTAATAAAATTCTAAAAACTAGCCAAGGCAATAGAACTTAGTTGTACGGGTTGTACTTGGTTGTACCAAGACAAAACAAATTAATTTGTACAGATACGACAAAGAAATTAACCTTCTATGAGTTCGTATAGAAAAAGGCTTAGACGTTTCACGCCTTGCAAATCGTAGATATCAATCGGACCCATTATGTGCTTCTGAACATGCCACCACAAATCTCAACGGTTCCGATTTATTTACAACAAACTCAAAGACATTTTTATGTCAAGCCTTTTCAACTAAACATTGTATTGCTTCTTTGCTTCAAAATTCTTGGCCTACTGTAATATCAAGCTCATCGTCCCATAAAATAGGTCTACACGCATTTTTTTCTACATCTCTTTCTTCAATCTCCACCACCACCGGATATTGTTGTGATGGTTCACCTACGTACATAGCAAGGACACCACCACCACAGTCCATCAACATAGTTATATCCATTTGTCTCGGTTGCACCAAATTTAGGGTTCCGTAAATATTCTACTTAGTTGTACGCAATGGTTTCAGTTGTCTCAAATCTGCAATCCTCAAATATTTCTATAAAAAACCGCATTCAAGCTACGAATTCAACCTTTCTCAATCATAGTTACCAACGTCAGACCTTACTACACTAAGAAAACAAGTATGGTTTATGGAGAAGAAGAAGTAAACAAGTATACTTATCTTAAATACCTTAAAGAGCTTTAATGGTGGATGGCGAAGAAGAAGAAGAAGAAGAAGAGAGGAGATATGTGGATCCGAGATATGTCTTTGGAGATTTAATGGTAAGCTTAAATGGTGGATGACGAAGAAGAAGAAGAGAGAAGAGAATGAAGATCCGAAATCTGTCTCAAAATCTTTAGAAGAAGAGAATGAATGCGTTTTTTTTGAGGTTTTTGGGTAGGATTTTGTGGTTAATGAGAGAGGAGAGAGAATGAATATGATTGGTTGCTTTTAATAATTTATTGGTAGAAAAATAAATATATAAATAAATAAGATAAAGGAGAAGGGTAAAGTTGGTTTTCAAATATATTGGGAAGGAGAAGGGGTAGTGAGAATAAGTAAGGGTTTTTGAAAGAATGATATGAGCAAAAGGGGCCAGGGAGATTAAAATCCCTATTTCTTGGCCCTTTTTAAAAGGTTATTTAGTTTTGTCCACCAAATAGGCAAATACTATACATATGCATCCAATTTTCTCAAAAATGTAAAACAGTTATTGATAAATACATTATTTCACAAAAAATCAAATGAAAAACCCACAGAACTCAGTAAAAAAATATAATCCACAGAAAGATGAAACACGTGGGCGATTCCGACAGAAGCCACTCTCTAACCTAGACCAACCACCATTCGCCACGTCTCCAGTCCCATTCCTCCTCCGCACACACCTCTTGAGTCCGTTAAAGGCCGCTCCTTTATGTTATCAACACGACCCATCGTTTTGGCTCTGACTCTATTTCACTATAATATTATATTACTCTATCGAGTTCATAGATTTTGAAGCTAATAAATCCACAGAGATTTTTCTCTCTTTATTAGTCTTCTTTCTTGATCACAATTCAATCATAGACTCTCTATTCTCATTGAGGTCAAAACTCTTTTTGGTCGCTTTAGTTCGGTGAGAAGTTTTAAGTTAGAATCTTGATTTGGTTAGCTCAAAATATGAGTCTAGGTGCTTTGATGGAAGAGAAGAGAAGAGCAACAACTTCATCTTCTTCTTCTTCTCAGGTACATATGCCTACCAAGGATGTAGATTGGCAAATGCTTGATAAATCGAGGTTTTTCTTCCTCGGTGCTGCTCTTTTCTCCGGTGTATCCACTGCTCTTTACCCTATTGTAGTCCTCAAAACAAGGCAACAAGTCTCTCCGACTCGTGTCTCATGCGCCAACATTTCTCTGGCTATTGCTAGATTTGAGGGTCTAAGAGGGTTTTACAAGGGGTTTGGTACATCTTTGCTTGGAACTATTCCGGCTCGGGCTCTCTATATGACAGCTTTAGAGATTACGAAGAGTAGTGTAGGTCAAGCAACTGTTAGGTTAGGATTGTCGGATACTACGGCTTTGGCTGTTGCTAATGGTGCAGCTGGTTTGACCTCGGCCGTTGCTGCTCAGGTTGTCTGGACCCCGATTGATGTTGTGAGTCAACGGCTTATGGTTCAAGGCGATCTTTCCTTGAGTAAGCATCTTCCTGGAGTGATGAACTCTTGCAGATACAGAAATGGGTTTGATGCTTTTAGAAAGATTCTTTACACAGATGGACCAAGAGGGTTCTACAGAGGATTCGGGATCTCGATCTTGACTTACGCGCCTTCAAATGCCGTATGGTGGGCGTCCTATTCTTTGGCTCAAAAATCAATTTGGTCTCGATACAAGCACTCCTACGACCACAAGGAAGATGCTTGTGGCTCAGTGGTGGTTCAAGCGTTGAGTGCAGCTACAGCAAGCGGTTGCTCGGCTTTAGTAACTATGCCAGTAGACACAATCAAGACGCGGTTGCAAGTCCTAGACGCAGAAGAGAATGGGAGGAGACGAGCAATGACAGTGATGCAGTCGGTGAAGAGCTTGATGAAGGAAGGAGGATTTGGGGCTTGCTACAGAGGATTGGGACCAAGGTGGGTCTCAATGTCGATGTCTGCAACAACGATGATCACAACCTACGAGTTCTTGAAGCGCCTGGCAACAAAGAAGCAGAAATGATATATGATAAATCATTCATAGTAGCAGTTTCTCCAATCCCTGTTGTGTTAAGACGAAGAAACCAAATGATAAAACTAACCAAAATACTTTGATTGAGTTTAAGAATGTTAATAAACAAACATAAAACAGACCAAAGATCATACCCTAAACAAAGAGTTATTCCTCAATCGCCAAAATGTAACAATGAAAAACTAAAATGTCTTCCTAAAAATGGCGAAAAGAGCCTAAAATTACCAAATCCATATGACAAATCTGATCTAACCAAACAGTTAAGCTGTTCATCATATGCAAAGGTAGATACACAGAAGCGGCCACAAGTTTAGGAACGAGCCCTCTTGTTGCTGCAAGATGGGCACTTGTATTGCTTGATGTGCTCAGCCCTTGCTGGTGTTATCTTCACACACTTTCCATGAAACCACATCTCACAGAGGTCACAGCAGATCCAGAACTCATCAGCTGCATAGCTCTCACCACATGCCCCACACTGTGTTTCACCTTGCTCATCATCATCATCCTCTTCCACACCTTCCTCTTCTTCCTCTTCATCTTCATCTTTGGGCACTGGCTTTGAGAACCTGGCACGGGATTCAGATCCTCGCTGTAATGTTAGACAAAGAAAGCAGAATTAGGACAAGAATAAACTTAGATGGACAATAAACAGTATACTTAAAGTGTTAATGCCGCTCATGCCATAAAAGCGCATACAACGAATTTGCCGACTTAACTAACATACCATTTGGGACAGTAAAACTACAGTGAAAACAAAAAAGGACATTTTTTTACCTTGGAGCTTGATTTGGATCTGTTGCTGCTGTTGTTTGAAACAGAGGACTTATCCTTTCCTTGTTTCTTAGCAGTGCCAGCCACGACCTCAAAAATTGTTGGGAGGTCATTCACCATATTGAAAAGCCTCTTCCTGCAATCAATGTGAAAGAACATCAATCACAGAGAGAGCTACATAAACCTCGAACCTAGGTCTTAAGATCAGCAAGTAACAAACAAAATAAACAGTGCAGGAGCAGAACAATGAGATGTTTGCATCTATACCACCAAGGAACATAGATGCAAGAAGATAAGACTCAAAAAGGACAAGAACATACATACCTATCAGCTTTGTCAAATCCAAACCTGGCTCCAAAAAAGAAAGCAACAGCAAGAAGCCAGGCATCACTGTGGACAGCAACAAGGGACAACCAATCCTTTTCCGCCATCCCGTCTCGGGCAAAGTTGATACCCAAAACAGGCTCTGGGAGCTCCGGGGGAACCTCTTCAGCTGGCAAATTCACCTCCCAGTGCTCATTGGGATGCCCATAAAGGCACAGGTTCTCCTTTTCTATAATCACAAAAGGAAAATGAGAACAATTAGGAAATAAGCACTGCAATATCAAAATACATAAAGGCGCAAAAAAATGTGAAACCAAAGTATCAAAACTGATTCCCTGTTTATAAATTTCAACAAACAAACAACCATTACGGTAAAATAATCCAACAGTCCCTATTAAGATATGACCCAATTGGAAAAGAACACGTCGTACGCGATTACTTGTCTAAACATAAAAACAAATAGAAAATCAGCAGATAACCAAGTTGTCATAATTCAAAACATAAAAATCTCTTAATGGAAAAAGCACCATAAACACTAAGCCAAATGACAGAAAGCAAAGACACACACAATGATTCTCTGACTAATTAACATCTGAAACAACGCGATTCATGGATACAGGTAGACAAGGAAAGCAAGACAAACATGAGTTTTTATCACAGACTCTGAATTGTGAAAAACATAATCAAAAACTGTTTCCTTTTCACTTTGAATCATTGATTACAATAGAAAATCAATGACCAAATCTAAGGAGACACAGAACCAAAACCCGAAAAACGAATTTTCAACAAATCCAAATCCCTTAATCTGTTCTCCAATTGAGAACAATGCAGAACCAAGGAAAAATGGTGGTAAGACTAAGCCACAATCATACAAAATGAACAATTTTTTTTTTTTAAATCAATTATCCATAAACCTGAAATTAAAACCAAGTCAAACAAAAATCAACACTTTGACTTCGCTCAAACAAATGTACCCCAATCCAAATATATCTGACAAAAGTACAATTTTTTCCACAAACAGAGACGAGAATCTACAAACCCTAATGCTTCACTGAAACAACAATTACATTGAAACAAACCACAACGAAGTAAATTCAAAAACAAATAAAATAAAATAAAAAACCAAACTTTCGCCGGCGAGGAACAACAACAATCACAGGGATCGCAAACAAATTTTTTATCATATCGAAAACACAATCGAAACAAAAATCAACACTTTAGACTCTGAAACGCAATTCAAATAAATCTAACAAAATCACAATTATATTCACAAACAGAGAAGAGAGAAACTATGAAACCCTAAATGCTATCACTGAAACAACAACACTCAGATTAAAACAGAGCATCACCAAGAAAAAATTCAAAACACAAATAAAAATCAAAACTTTCGTCAAGGCAAATCAAACCCACAAACAAATCTCAAAGGAACAACACTCACCGGGATCACAAAGCCGGAAAAACTCCTGAACATCTGCAAACAAAAGGGTAATCACAAAATTCAGTTTTCCGGTGAGAAAATGGAAAAAAAAAAAAACAATTTGTTTTACCAGTGGTTAAAGCCTTAATCATGCCAGCTCTACGACCCTTAAAATCCCTAAACACCTCTTCAACAGTGCGTGGATTGTACGCGCCACCTGCTTCCATCTCAGCTTCAAGGAGACAAGACAAGAGTGTAAGAGAAAGAGAGAGACAAGTATTTGACCGGCGATGAGAGAATTGTGTTGCGAGAGAAAAGATGTGAAAGAGAAAAAGGGCGGACCCAAAAACAATTAAGCGGATTTAATAAGATGAGGAGGAGTCCGCAAAATGAATCTGATGAGGAAGAGAGCACGATAAGTGTAATCTTTAATCCTATCAGATCTTGACGCGTATCTCCTGCTTTATGTTGTGTATTGGTATGTTATTAATTGGATTGGCTTATTTTTGGGTAATAGTCTAATAGATGTTTCATAAGGTTGAATTAAGAGTTTTGTGTTAATGATCATTAAATTGTAATGGTGGTAAGGATTGTGTTTTTGATTACTGAGAGATTTCTGAAAGTTTTATTAGATACTCTGTTTTTTCGCGGTAAATGTTCGGTAATCTGGTATCTGAGAAAAAAATTTGACCGTTTTTTCTGTTTTCATTCGCGGCCTTTTGTTTTTCAACATAGTAATGAATACTTTACTTTTGATTAATGAGTGATTCGGTTATCTGGTATCTCAGAAATTTGATCGTTTTTTCTGTTTTCATTCGCGGTCTTTTTTCAAGATAGTAGTAAATAGTTTATTTTTGATTAGTGGGAGATTTAGGAAAGTTTTTATCAAATACTCTGTTCTTTCGCGCTAATTTTCGGTAATTTGGTATCTTAAGAAAAAAAATTTGACCGTTATTTTTGTTTTTCATTCGCGGTCTTTTTTTAATTGGGAAAGTTTTTATCAAATACTCTATTCTTTCGCGCCAATTTCCAGTAATCCGGTATATTAAAAATCAGTTTAACCGTTATTTTTGTTTCTTTATTATGAAGAGAATTTGGAAAAAGTTTTTTTATCAAATACTCTGTTCTTTCACACTAAATTTTCGATTATCTGTCTATCACCACTTCTGAAATCCCTAATATTTTTTCAGGAGGTATACCTCAAGATATTCTTTGATCTCTCTCCTCGCACGTGCAACTCTTCTCTAATAACTCGAAACATTCATATTTAGCTCCTTCTTGATCAAACACAACTTTAAATTTGATTCTAGAAAATAGACTTGAAGTCTTCGAGCTATACTCATTACATGTCACACACTATAGTGATTTGATGCCTTTATTGGCCCAAACTAGATAAGGAAACTCAACATCATCAATGAGTCCCATAATTATGCAAGGGAGATTATAAGTGAATCCAAGATCATGATATTCATCAGATGTCATTGAATATTTCTCAATCTAATTGATTTGAAAAATATCCCATGGAATGTTGGGTTGTTCGACGGTTGCATAAAGATTTTTAACGTGTAGCAAATGGAGGAGATGCGATTTCGCATCGTTTTTCAACGAGTCGGACGAGGAGGCCAGAATCCCTCTAGCCACGTTGATGCCGCCGAGAATTTTGTTCCCTCCAAATGTAGTAAATCGTAGTTTGGAACACCATAAAAGCCACTATGAAATCCATCATGCGATGTTGTGAAGCAACTAAATGGTTGAACGAGTCATCCCAGTCTAGCGTCATTGATGAGTTTAAGAGCATGTCATCCAAATGGCAAAATTCTATTAATCAGTTTGGAATATATATTAGTCATTTAATTAAATTTTGACACGTGGAAAGTTTAAATATATGAAAGTTTAAACTCATATATTAAAAAAAAATTATATTTACTAAACTCTATTCGTATATAATATTACAAAAAAATATAAACACCACATATATGTAAAGTTTAAATAAATGAAATTTTCTATTTTATCAAAACTAAATAATTGACATTTAATAAAATATAAGATTTTATATATAGAAAAAATAACCAATTATTATGGACAAGAAACATACACAACTAGAAATTTCACTCATCTTAAGAAAAATATAAAAACTTGGGAATGCACAAAGACAAGTCTAACAAAAATCCAACAAATGGCAAGATTCTAATTAATTTTGTTTTGACATATGTTAATTTTATTTTATTTTTCGTTTGGACATATGTTATTTAATAAATAAATTGTGACACTTGTAAAGAAACTGTTTTTAATAAAAATCTTGAATTTTTTAATAAAGATTCTTTAATATAATTAATTTTCTATTTCTAAAACTCTACATCTACAATATTGACAAACCAAAATTAATTAGCATATATATAAGTTTGAATAAATGAAATTTCCCATTATTATAAAAAATACATAATTGATATTTCATAAAACATGGTTTTATATATGGAAAATTGATAATATATTTTAATATTCAATGGACAAATAACATACATAATTGAAAATATTACCAGTCTTAAGAAAAACATCAATATTTAGGATTGCATAAAGATAAGTCTTACTAAAATCCAACAAATGGAACAAAATCTAATTTTGTGATACATATTAGTTAATAAATTAAATTTTAACATGTGTAAAGAAATTTTCTCAAACAAATTTTTTATGTACTGAAATTTTAAATCTAATTTGGTATATGATTCATCCTGAAATAGGTAGAAATCTAAAGTTGACTGTTTTTCTTTGTTTGAGTTGTTATTGGGTCTGAGTTTTTGGAAATTTAGGATTATGTTTGACTGATTTAACTATTTGTGAAAATAAACATGGTAAGTTGAACAACTGTATAACAGTTGTAAACACAATGTTTATTCATAAGAAATCTCCAAAAAAAAAAATCACCAAAATTATTATCTTCTTACTCTCCCCATTTCTCTTAAGTAATATAATAAATAAATTTGACTGCTTCTTAAATTTGCTAATCATTCAATTTAGAGAGTACTTTGTTGATAAAGGTTATCCAGTTTAACTTGGAGTAGAAATAAGAAGGTTACAAGCCCAACTAAGCTATACAGTTCTTGGGCTTAGCCCAATATTACAATTTCACCAGAATAACAAAAGGGATTAAAAACTCAATTTAGAGAGTCATCTGAAAAACTGAAAATCATCTCTGTCTAATACAAATACACAAAGGGATTAGCTCCTTTTTCGGATTAATTATCCTTTCTTCATATATATTAGACTATTAGCGATCATCCATGTCTATTAAGCATATATATATAACTTGATGGATTAAGCTATTTGGTTTTATTTTGATATATAATTTTAAAAAATGTACACTGTGAACACTATGTACTATGTAGTATGTAGCCATTGAAAAAACCATAAAAATCATTTCCACATCTTTGTACAACTTTTAAAATTCTATATTGTTATAATGCCCGGAATAACCTTATAGCCATGTTCGGACCAACCCCGTTAAAGTATAAGCCCAAAACAATTCGGGCCTAGGCCAGGCCAGGCTCAAATTTATGCATGAGTGCTTTGCTAATTTGAGGTTGGACGAGAGCGATTGACAGGGATTGATAATAGAAAATGTTTTCAATATTCAGAAGGAAATGTTGAAATGTTAATAGTCAAAAGTAAAGAGAAATCTGTAACAATAGGCAGAGCTAAAGATTGGTTGTTATTCTCATAACTTTAATCTCATATCATATAATGTTATCAATTCTCATTAAATGCAGAGCAAAAAAAATAAGTTTGAAAGATAAAGAGTTAACATTAGCCTCGTCACCCCCAATGTTTTAAGTTAGCTCCATGACTTTTGCTATTCTTCATGATGCAAAGACCCTTTGACGAGTGGAAACATGAGCTTGAGACTTGACGGGAACACGAGAAACCACAGGCTTCAACAATGCCTTCACTTCCTCCGGTAAATCGAGTTGTTTCCTAACCTCATTCGCTAACTCAATCACATACTCTTCCTCATGCTCTGTTATCACAACATTTCATCTTTCAAAAATCATACCAAAAATTGTGGTTTCTTTAATATAAACTCATTAAGAAGCTCTCTCTCTTACCAATGTCGTACATAGCTTTCTCTAGCTTGAAAAGATACTCTCTGTTGTTACCACATGGTCCAGAAGCTGTAGCGATTTGCCTCGCCATTTCTTCCAATGGAGCTGGACCTAAATAGTATTTGTTCGACACTTTGTCTGGTGTTGACGTGAAGCTACACAAAGACAAGAAACTAATTTCAACATTGAATCATTAAGTGGAAAGAAAAAAAAGATTTTTGGATCAAAACTTACACAATAACTCCGGTTACGATTGGCGTGGAAGTGACCGTTTCCTGCATCCAGTGAATAGAAATCAAATAAATATTTTTTAAAAAAAACAAAAATTTGGAAAAAGACAACAACAAAACAACAAGTTTCTTACAGTGTAAAACTCAACAAGTGTTTTTGAGTCGTATTCACACTCTCTTCGTTCCAAGTACTGCAAAAAAAAAAAACATGTCACATATCAATATTAAGATCCAACAAAAGAAACACACCCAAAACTAAACCAATAAATAAAGGATCTTTTTTGCTACCTCCATTGCTAGTTTCTCCTTCTCTGGTCCTCCACGAACGCAATAAGCAGCTCCCCACTGCCCAATAAAATGGTTTCAACATCGGATTTTAAATTTTTATTTTTTTTCAATTAAAACAAATATATACTCTGTTTCAAAATAAAATGTTGTTTTCAAAAAAAAGAAAAAGTGTGTCCAAATAGATGTCATTTTAAAATTCCAATATAAATTTGTCAACAAATACCAAATTTAATCCTGTTCATAATTTTAGAAATGGACCAGAAATTACGAAAATCACATAAATATTATACGGATATAATGACATTTTTAATTAGTTTGTGAAACAAAACAACACTTAAATATTGAAAATGGAGAGAGTTTATCTCTTACGCAAATAGCTCCGGTGGATTGCTCCAACGTGCAAGTCCTAGCAGGATGTTCAGGAGTGCCTCTATGATCAATACACGCTACAAAAAATAAATCAAGAAACCATAAGCAAACAATTTGATTACTTCTTTCAACAAAAAAAAAAAAAAAAAAAGAACAATGTGTTGTTGTTGTTAACTTGTTATACATACCAAGATCAAAGACACGTTTGTAGTCTTTGATATAACCAATGATTTTTTCATCAAAATCGAAACCTGGGTTCCAGATTAAAGATCCATATCCAAATACCCACAAAACCATCTTTGATCCTTAACCTCACACGCAACAATCTTTAGAGAGAAGAAGAAGTAGAAAGAATGTGATATTTTTGAGAATTAAGAGAGAATCGTATTTAATATATACAGAGTGAAAAAGATTTTAGGTGTAATAAAAGAATCCCGAGATGTGTGGGAGTTAATGAATTGAATCTAGACGGCTTTTTGAGGTTTATTCGTTTTTTACCGTACATTTAGGCATTTAAAGCAGAACCTACTCTCTTCCTAACTCTAATCTAACGTATCTTTTTTTTTTCTCTTCTTGTTTTTAGTTTCTGGTACATTGAATCTAGACACCTTTTTGTATTATTCTAACCTAATAGAGACAGAAATGGTCCAACATAGCATAAGTCTAGCCCAAACCCACGTTTTTTCTCTTTCTTTTCTTTTTTTTTCTGTTTTTCTTTTTGTATGTTTTTGGTAAAAGTCAAATTTTGTCTTAAATTATTGGTTGGTGGGAAAAATTCAAGGAAGATTGAGAGGAGTGGAGAGAGACACAAGTGTACAGGCTCTCAAAATATCTCTCCTTATGTTGATTTGGTGTTGACGATGATTGGCTACTCTAAAGAGATCGATGTGTATTGGTTATGTTATGAGAGATAATCATGGAGAAGTGGTTCGTTTGGTGGGAGTCAAATTGATGACTAATTTATTACAGGTTAGTGTAAGCTACAGAAGTGGTTGTCCTTAGATGGGTCGTATCTTCTTCCATCTACAAGTTGGGCTTTTACAAGGGATAGTTGGGCCTTCTTAAGAAAATATAGTTTCTACGAAACTACAACCAAAAACAAATTAAAAAACTTTTGGACTATAAGTTTCAAAATTAAAGGAAAATGGGTCTAGAAAAAAAAAAATGTTGTATATCGATTCTGCAGCCATCTTAGCTTGAAAGCACGTTGAGCCGTGGGTTCATTGGTGTTGGACCACTCATTTTGGATTTGGTGGCACGTTTTGGTTGTAACTATTATCACTCCCTAAACAAATATTAAAGTCATTATTACTATCATTGTTTAACTCCAAATTACTCATTCCGTTTTAAATTAGTTACCGTTTTAGATTGTTTCACACAAATTGAGAAAATAGATAATAGTCTGTTATGTCCTTCTTTGACTATTAAAATTCCAAACTATTTTATCTTTTATTCATTTAACAAGGCGCAAATGAGATAATTTTCTATAAAAATGACGTTAGAAAACGAAAATGACAATTAAACTAATAAAAAATAATTAAGCCTAGAATGTCAACTATTTTTAAACGGAGGGAATATTAATTACACCACCGCTATAATGCTTCTTTTTGTCATTTTTCTCATCTTTCAATTTTGATTGAATATGGTAAATAATCATATGAATTTAAAATACCGTATTATTTTAGAGTAAAGATTGGTGCTATTTATTGGAAAAAAAACATTTTATTCATAAAAATACATTTATTTTTGTGTCATTTTATTAGAAAAAAATTCATCGTCATTTTACATTTCCTACAGTCAATGTAGGGCATGTTTGGCACGGCGTTGTTTGACGACTAAATTTAACGGCAAAAAATATATAAGCCGACGAAAGCAAAGGAAAACGGTGGTTTAAAGAATGGCACCAACGTCGTTGATTGCAGAGCAACACCAATGATATATATTTCCGGTGACTGAATTTTTGTATTTACGAACGAAAATATAAAAGTTGTTGCTGACAATAAATTAAAAATTAATTAAGTTAGCTGATTCCATTAATTCTTCGATTGGTCGCCGAAAGTGGTCTTACAGCGACACTGTGACGATCAGTCTCATACTCTTTTAATTTTCAGTGCAAGTATTAAATATTGTCGTTGAGACAGCGATGCTACCAAAAGATCTTACTAAACACATGTCACTGTTTATCATTAAGTGTCTATTTCCATGCAACGCAAAGGCACAATTCCAACCTACCCTTTTATTTTTTTTACTACTACTTGTTTCGACTAATCATTAATTACGCATTCACGCTAGGAGCTACTATATACTCCCTCCGTTTCGTTTTAGTTGTCGTTTAAGGTTTTCTCACACAAATTAAGAAAAGCATTAAATTTTCTGTTTTACCCTTTATTAATATATTTTATAAATTTTTTCATTGGCCAAATCATTAAAACAATAGGGATAATACTGGAACTTTGACCAAATATTTGCATTGAAAACCTAAAACGACAACTATTACAATACAAAATTTAAGTCCTAAAACGACAAATAAAACGAAACGGAGGGAGTAGTATATTAACTCATCATGATGATAAGACACACACAAAAGAAATTTATTTAAAAAAAATATGTAACAGTCAAAATAATCTTTAACAAAAAAAAGAAACAGTCAAAATAATGAAAAAAAGATCACACAAGAAAAATAAAATATTCGTATTGGTTAATTAATTAGAAGGTATTCATCATCATATAGTCCTGTTTCATAAATCATAACAATTAACGTTTATCATTTGAATGTTATCATCTGAAATCATGTAGTTACATTATATACTTCTTCCATTTCGTTTTAGTTGTCGTTTAAGGTTTTTCACACAAATTAAGAAAAGCATTAAATTTTTTATTTTACCTTTTACTAATATATTTTATAAAAAATTTCATTGGCCAAAACATTAAAATAGTAGGGATAAAACTAGAATTTTTACCAAATATTTACATTGAAAACTTAAAACGACAACTATTATAAAACAAAATTCAAATCTTAAAACGACAACTAAACTGAAACGGAGGGAGTAATAGAAATCTTAATAATTTATGATATGTGAAATAAGAAGGTATAACTTCACTATTTAAGGAGGTGTTATTGGTTTGTGAGTTAAATAGTATTTTAATGACTTTAAATAATACGTAGATCTGTTGTTATCCAATCAAGCTTATATTAAACTCTGTTAAAATTTGGTGTTATTAGATTTTGATTTGTAAAATATCTTCTAAAATCTTCATAAATATAATTTAGGGTTATTGGTTTTAGAATTTTATAAAGTTAATAAAAGTTTTGTGTTATTTAGCTAAAACAAAAGAATCTATGATAAGTAGTTTTACTATGGTAAATTATTACAAAAAACTATCATTACTTATATTTATGTATCCAATCAAATTTACAATTAATTTTCTATTATTTATATAACCAAACAAAATTAATTTTTAATATTAATTAAAAATAAAAATAATTATATAATATTCTACAATTAATGAGATAATATAGATATTTAGAAGATTTTGTTTAGATTTAAAAATTATAATTTTTCTATCATCTTTGTTTGATTTTGTTTTGTAATTATTTTGAATCATCATATAATACATAAATCTAAATATTTTTCTGGTTCAGTTTTTTTAAAAGAACATTTATTACTCAACTAATGAAAAAGTATGTGTTCATTTTCCCGGAAAAACGGTCTATTTCCCCCCGAGAACTATCGTATCTGGCCAGATAAAGCCCGATCTTTGACCTCTGTCTATATACCCATGAAACGGAAGTTAAATGTTTATTTCCCCACCAATTGCAAGTTCGAGAGCTTAATGTCCATGAATCCTGGTTTCGTCGGTTTAGTGCGTAAACCCGATACAGAACCATGTTTCGGTCGTAACTTAACCAAAAAAAAAACCGATTCCTTATTAAAACCCGACCCATTGTCGTTGTCATCCCAAAAATCAAAATCCCAAAATCCCCAAATTCAAATTAAGAACCCTAAAAAAGCTGAACTCTCAAACTTCAGAAAACTTCAAATTCTTATATATCTTGGGCCAACATTAGATAGGAGACAAAGACAAGAGTCTAATAATACTCTTATTCAATATAATTGCAGCCACTCCTAGCGGCAGGTGATCGTGAGGTCGAGACACCATGGTGGAACTTGGAAGAACTGTTGTGGAGTTCTTTTTTTTTTTTTTTTTTTTTTTTGGAGTTCTTGATCTTCTCAAGGCATCATCATCATCATCAGCTACTTAAAGAAACAGAGGAGAATAAAGAAGACTCCAAAATTGTGAAACCAATCAAATTCTCAAGAACTTGATTTGGGTGTCAATGATGCCCCGATTGCTCTCCCTTTTGATGTGGTGAATCAAGCGGCTGCGGAGAATCGTTTCATCCTGATGGGCCGTCCGGTGATGCCAAGGAGACAGAACATGCGCTCGATTGTAGCGGCGATGCCTCGTTTGTGGGGCCAAGCCGGGTTGGTTCACGGAAGAATTGTGGAAGGCAGACGAGTTCAGTTTGTCTTTCCTTCTGAGGAATCCATGGAAATGGTTCTCCGCAAAGGACCATGGGCTTTTGCTGAGCGAATGATGGTGATACAGAGATGGACTCCTCATGGATCTCTCGATGCTGATTGTCAGGAACTCACCAAGCTCTTAAATGGATCGACTCTCAACTTTGGTATTCACAATTGGCTGCGAGAAATAAGATATTGGCAGAGCAAATTCGAAGGAATCCAGTTCCAATGGGTGGAGAGAACACATAACAAGGCTGCAGACCAACTTTCAAAGTTTAAAATGCCTCGGAACATTTCTTTTGTCTATCATCATTATGTTCCCCATGTATTAACAAACATCCTCCATGAGGATTTCTGTAACAGTTCACTATCATAAGCTTAATATATAAGATGTTAAAAGTGATTTCTGTAACTCCACAATCTCTGATTTCAAAGCCACCACTTTCAAAGTGATTTGGGGATTCTAGGGTTCGTCGAGAGCAATTTGGGGATTTTCGATTTTTGGTTTCAATTTTTGGTTTCGATTTGTTTTTGGGGTAGTGGGTCATAAACGGGTTGTAATTTGGGTTTAGGCTGGTTCTAATTAGGTTTAATTGGTTAAAGCATCGGTTTGGTATACAGTAAACCAATTAAACCCAGCGCTATGGAGTTTTAAATCTCGAACTTAGGATTCATGGACATTAAGCTCTCGAACTTTCAATTGGTGGGGAAATAAACATTTAACTTCCTTTTCATGGGTATATAGACAGAGGTCAAAGATCGGGCTTTATCTGGCCAGATACGATAGTTCTCGGGGGAAAATAGACCGTTTTTCCTCATTTCCCACATCAGCTAAAATGTTTAGCAGCTCTTCGGAGTTATATTATATATAAGATCAAAATGAATCAAAATCATAGCGAGCAGAAAACTTAACTTACTTCGATTTTTTAGTTGACATGTTTCACTTTACCGTATATAGTAAATTTTAAAAAATTTAAATATTATAACTGATATATTTAAAATTAATAAAAAATTAAAATAATATGAATATTAAAACATATAATAAGTGTAAAATAACATGGAACAGGTTATATTGCGGGATGAGTTATATGGCGGAATGGGATAAAATCGACGTCAATAATAATATAAAATATCATTAACCCAATTTGCTTCCATACGGATTAAATTTTCATTTTATTCTTTTAATAACACCACCAATATTAGACATTTCGAATCAGACTTATTTAATTAAAAGTCTGAAACAAAAATTATCTAACGGTATACCACCACAAATTAAATCCTAGTATGGTTAGAATAAGATATGGAATTAACTGGTAAATACTTCAACAATGATGTGTTTTGTTAAATCACATATCCATATAAATTTCGAATCGCATGCTAAGAGTTTTTTTTTTGTTAAGAATGTAAATATTATTATAAACTAAAAATTTATGTTTTAGAAAATGATTTGCAAATTGCTTAAACCTATTACATTGACATATCATGCATGCAGGCATTAATACAAACAGATTAACTAGACCATTGGTCGTCCAACTCCAACCAAAACGATACAATTAATGTATGCCACTATTGACAATGTCATGATTCCGGTCGTACATAACTAAAGATGGAACGTCTAAACACAAATTGTAAGAGATACTACGTTGCAAATTTTTTGTGAATTTGGGAAGTTTTAAATTTTTGCAATATTAGTTTTCAGAACATGATGCATGCAGTTTAACCAAAAAAAATGAACATTTTCAAAAACTTGAAGATTGGCGTGAATTTAGAAAACGTTGTTTAAAATGGCGATGTGTTTAAATTTAGTATTTACATACAAATGTTAACTAATTATTAATTTTAAATGAATACATATACTTTATAAGAAATAAGACTCAAAATGTTGAAGAAAAAATAATAATTATATAAAAAAATAATAATAATAATGATGAAGAGGTCCCATACATAACAATAATTAAGTTTCACTGTGCTTGTATTTATACCATCAAGATGGTCAAGAAAAATATGAATAGCCCCCATCATTAAATGAAGACATTATTGGCTATGATTAAAAACATAGAAGTAAATATGTAATTAAGTTTGTAGTGTATAAAGAATTAAAGATAAACAAAGTGTGTAGAAGCATTGACTTTGACCACATTAGAATCTTTATTACGTACCCCAACGCTTCTCAATGCAAAAGAAGCACATGCAACCATCCACTTAGAACCAAACATATGCATATGTGTGATTAATGTTGTCGAACTTCTACTCCACGTATACGATTTAATTGTACTACCATATCATAATATTATTTCAATAACATACTATATAACAAAATCTATAGAAGAAACATATATTTCATGTAAACATGTTTAAATTAATAATTTCAACCATTTTTTTTTTTTTTGTAAATGATCAATATTGGGCCGTGATTATTATACCGTAATGTCATCATCCGATTTTTGTTATGTTATGCTCTTTTAACCTATTTACTTTGATCATTCGACTACCATACACAATATTAATTTGTTTTGGTGTCACCCTTTACACCGGTAACTATATGCTCGGTGCTTTTCCTTATTTGTAAATTCTAATTATAAACTAAAGATGAAGAATTTGTAGGTGTTTTGTTTTTCCTCATTTGTAAGTTTGAAAATTCTAATAATAACCATGAATGGAAATTTTCGTACCTATTTCGATCTCTTTATAAATATTTCATATTTCCAATCAATCAATTCGAGCAAAGTGTTATTTTCTTAAAATATATGTAAAAGTACATCATAATAAACTATTAACATTACTTTCAATAACTTTTAGTGTTTCCTAGGTTACATCATATCTAAAATCATCCTTAGAATAATGACTAAAATATTTTCTAGCATACAAATGTCAACCAAATTTGTATCAACTCGTAACATTTTAGCCTGCCAGCCAAATAGTAACTTTTAGCCGATTTATTTTTGGGATTATTGTTGATTTTGCTATTTTTCATAGAAATCTTTTGAAATTGCTATTTTTACTAAAATCTTACGGATATGCCATTTTCTAATACTTAAAAATGTACGTATTTCGGATTTTTTTTAGTAAAAATACGTAGTTTATACAAAATACTAAACCCTAAGAACAACCACAACCGACTAAACCCAAACATAACGAATAAAATGCATGTTAAATCATATTTCCGTAGCCTGAAAAATGGCAAAATCCATAAACTATCCAAAAAAGGGCAAAATCCACAAATGCCATCCCAAAAAATGGCAAACCATAATTGATTCTTTATTTTTATTTTTAGAGAGTCATTGTCCACACAAAGACCCCAAATAATAGTTGGATATAAGATATTTTTCAGTTGTGATATTAAAATGGAGAGAGATACATTAATTTATCATCAACAGAGAACACCGACAATAATCAGAGAGATAAGATAAGGTACGAAGAAGTGAACCAGTTTCGCAGAATAGTACTTGAGGAAGGTACTCAATAATCCAATTCTTCAATTATTTGTAAAATATAAACCCCACCGTCGTTTTCTTGTTTCTCTCAATTATTTCACAACGTCTACATTTCCGAATTTATTTATAGATCTTATCATAATCAAACAAAATTACAATATCGAAACAAACAAACCATGTTTCTCGATGCATTTTTTTACCTACCATGAACTATACAAAAGTACAAAACTATAATAAACTACGTAGCATGCAGTTTATATGTACTTTAATTCATAAACTGAAGTTAGTATGAGTTTTGATCCATTAATATTAAACTTGAAATATAAAAATAACAATACTAAAATTTTGATATATTTAAGATGAATCTTCTTCAAATGATTCACCAAACTACAATGTCTTATTATGAGTTAAGTTAACCAAACAAATTATAAAACAACCAATAACATCGTTAATTAAATCGAATGTTTGAATCACACTAAAACAAAAAAGTAGATCAAACTTTAAAAATGACTAGAAAAATCAAGACATAAAAAAAAAACATGATAAAATGGAACCAAAAGATATAAGCTAGATCTCGAGACTACTAACCAAATTCTTCTGTAACATTGAGTTCTTGCAATGAGCAATAGCTCCTTGAATAGCACTTTGTAACTCTTCCATTGAAGAAGACACACTGTTATTGTTGCTGCTGCTAGCTCCTTGATGACCCGGGAAACCGCCACGTGTCAGTACGCCGGAGTGATTCGGAGATGACCTCATCGATGACGGACAACTCGCCGCGCATCGTCCTCGTTTTGTGTATTTCATTAGGTTTCCGGAGAAAGAGATAGATAAACCATTACCGGAAGAGACAACGGTTGGAGCGGCTGTGACGGTGGTTGTCGTGGTGGTTGTGGTGGTGGTTCTACGTATGTTGTTGCCGGAATCTTTGAGAGATAATAATGACGACTCTGTTTTTATAGTGGAGCTCTGTTTTTGAGATAACTTGTCGTATAAAGGTTTGACCTTTTTCATGTATTTGCGTATAACTTCTTTCGCTGTTGAGCTCATTCTCTTAACCGACGACGGAGCTGCGGCGGTTGCGGCGGAGGAGGATGAATGGAGATTGGTTTTGGGGTCTTTCTTGAAAACAGAGGAGAATCTAGAGAGAGAGAAACCACTACTTAAAGATTTGTTCTTTGGAGGTTTAAAGAAGAAATCTTCATCGTCAGTTACAGAGCTAGGACGAGAAGAGTCACAACAATCAAGCGGAGGAGGGTGGAGGAGAGGGAAAGAAGCGGTGGAATCAGTGGAGGAGTTAGATTCAGTGGAGTCACGTGCGGCGGAGGTTGCGGCTGAGGAGGAGGAAGATGAAGTGTACTCTGAGGAAGAAGAAGAAGAACAGAGTGTACGGACTAGAGAAAGACGAGGAGAGAGCTGGAGAGGAAGAAGCTGGCCTTTGTAGAAGAGTTCATCGGCGGGACAAAGAGAAGAAGAAGCTTTTCGCGGCGAGATTGAGATGTTGAATTCGAATTCCGATGAAGATGACGACGGAGATGAGTGAGATTGCGGTGGTGAGTTACGTGTACGTGGTGGTTGACGTCTCATTATGTCTCTCTCTCTCTACTCTAATTCTTTTGTATGAGTCTCTTTATGTTTAATTTTTGGCTTCTATGTAAATAGTAGAATGCTAAAATGTTTTATTTTTATTTTTATTATAAGGTTTTTATTTTATTGTTTTTTGATATTTAAGAGGGCTACTCTGCAGTGCCACGATGATCGCCAGATTGAAGCTGTAGTCACATGCAATGCAATTTAATATAGAGCGTAGGATTAGATTAGAGAGTTTGTTTAATGACGTTAATTGATTATAGGGTTTAATTATGATTATAAGTTTGTAGGAGTGAGAAGTGAGCAAAGCTAGTTGTGACTTGTGTGTGGTCCGATCTCTGTTTATTCCGGAAATTGTGGTATCCCTAGTTTTGTTGCAGGTTCCATTTCATTGACTTGGCATCTCTAGTTTTGTTTTTCATTTGTTTTTGTTAATACAATATGTGATCATAAATCTAGTCTAACAAAATTTTAATAAATGGCTAGTTTGTTTTTCTAGTCTTTATTTATCGTTTGTGAATCAGTCTTTTAGTTTTTAATATTGTATTTTTTTGTATTTACCTTTAGAGGGGTTGGCCATTTTAAAAGGGTATCAAAATTAACATATAATGAAAGTTTAAACATTATCAATAAATAGGGGATGTGTGTTTGTCAAGTGGTTTAAGTTCATTTGACTCCACCTTCGCCACCGAACTCTACTAAGTCGCATTACCCCGCATAATAAGATTTGATTATGAATCGGGCCTTGTCGATCCAAAGATGTCAAATAAAAAAAACATTATCAATAAATAATTTATTAGTATAATATGTCTTTGTTATGAATTAGAGAAAATTTGTATACAACAGTAATAAAGCTATTTAGAATATTGATGGTTCACCTTAATATGGATCAATAATCTTAATTTTGGTAGGAAATGATGATATTACTATGATAATATTTGATCAAAGAAAAAAACTAAGATAATATATAACAATATGTACATTTGTAAATTTTAATAATATATGAAAACGTTGTCGTCATTGTCGGAAAAATACAGCCGAAGGTATAGGAATAGTGATTCTATCACGTGACGCTAACGCCATGTGTGGCGATATAGCTCGTCCCATCTTTCGTTCCTTTAATTTGTATTTGTTTTCTGATATTAATAGATTCTCTCTATCAGTTTAGTATTACTTATATTCTTAATCAATTCATAATTACGCCGTTTATTTTGGATGGGTCGAATCATTTTCTTATTTCTAAAGCAACTACTTGATTATACAAATCACTTCACACTCAAGGTGGTGATTGCATGCATGGTCGATTAATAAGTTCCATTGTAATTAGTTCATAATGTTATCACTTTGTATACATGTTGATAGATAGTAATAGTTGTGTAGATACGTAAAATGTTTTCTGTAGTTGAGGCTTTGAAGCCAGTGGAAAAATATTGAAAACTTATAAAATTGACATTGCTCTTGTTATCGACTAAATACACTATTCGGAGAGGGGCACATATGCAATTTTATTCATACCAGGTGTTGTTTTACGCTCTGTGTGATCAATAAATTAAAAAATAAAATCTCCAAGTTGTAAATTATGGTTTTAGTTCCGTTTAAAGTAAAAAAGATAACAATGGTAAATAAATTTAACATTAAAACCAAAAAAAACAATGGTAAATAAATGAATTCATTATTTATCGTACCTTTTTATTGAAAGAAAATATTATATCATTACCATGTTATTCAATTAATATAATATATATATATGTCTCATTACTAACATTTCCAAATTACAACCTTATTGAGTTCTCCTTAAACATATAGTCGAGTGCAATAATGAGAGACTCTGGGCTTCCTTTGTTGATAGGCTATTTTAGTTTCAAAGTCCATTACTTGCCCCTCTTTTTATTTAGCGAGTTGCAATTCTATCACGATCTCATTTACAATCCACTAAAAATAGTTTTGTTCATTGTTGAAATATACAAATGCCACTGGCATATCTGATCCCATTATGGATTCGGAGTCTAAAATATACAAATGCCACTTTAGTATTTGATGATACCACAACTAATAGTAATTTCATAACTTAAGGTTTCATAATTTTCTGAAAAAATATCAATCTTGTTTTATGTCAACCCTTATATATATAACAATGAGAAAAATGTCATTTAAATCATCAGTTTGCCATTTTCGTTGGTTTAAAACATGAATTCTGGATCTGGTGATTTAAATCTTCAATTTTATGTGGACATGGTGATTTAAATCCTCAATTTTATGTTGACTTTCAATTTAATCACGAATTCTCGTTGACTAAGCCAATTGAGGCACATCGTTATCTGGCTAAACAGAGCAATCAGGCGAAGAGGAAGATGGAAACCATGTTGGTGTAGAATTATGTGATGGCTTCGAAGTGCCAGTTATGCGATGACATCGTCTTATTGATCCGTTTAGCCAGTTAGCGATGTGCCACAATTGAATTTGTCAATGAGAATCCATGATTAAAATGAAAATTAACATAAAATTAAGAATTTAAATCACCAGGTCTAGAGTTCATGATTTAAACCAACGAAACTGGTAAACTGATGATTTAAATGACATTTTTCTAATATAATAATGGTTTTGGGCCCAGGACTGGCCATGATATTTTGGAGCTAAAAACATTTGCTGTTAATATCTATATTAAATAAATAAATTATGATTCTGGAACATGATGATCAATGCATATTAGTTCTGTAAAATTTATGGGTCAAGGGCCCAAGGATAATGTTTAGTCACCCTCCCTTCAGAGCGACCCTGTTTGAACCACATAATTTATGAAAAGTTAGAGTCCAATTTTATTTTTAACTAGGTAAAAATCTTGGGTGAATCTTAATCTATTTAGTTTTATGTAACGTTATATTAATAATAAATATATTATTTATTTAGTATCTTTCAAATAATTGGGTTTAATTGGTTTGACCGTCGTGGATTGATAACTTAATGATATTTCAAAAAATATATATATACTGTCCGATAATACATTTTCTGAATTATTCCTAGATTGTTTGGTAAGGCCATAAGATCAGGCCCGGCGCATGACACAATCAAGTGAAGCGATGGCTTAGGGCATCAAATTAAAGGGGCATATATTTTAAAAAAACTTTTTTAGGGTCTTATATGTTAAAAAAAAAATTATAAGCTTTTTGAGAAATAAATTTGTTGGACTTTCCTTTCACTATATTTTATGGACTTTATGCCTTTAAATTAATAAAATGTTAATTAATATGTTGTTAATGAATTTTTTTGGAAATTTTTGGCTTAAAATAAAATAAAACCCTAAACGTTTACAAAGATTAAATGGGTTGGCATTACTATCCATTGAGACAGCTATGGTTGAAAAGCTCGACTACGTGAGTTTGATGAATGATTTTGCTGGTAAAAATCTAAATAGAGCTTTATTTAGAGAATATATATATTTTTTTCCTTACAAACTTCTTATGAAATTAATTACTGTTTTTTTTAGTTTAGTATGAGTTTTATTTTAATTTTATTTGTGATGCGAGGAAATTTTTTTTTTTTTTACTAAGGGCATGATTTCTTTTAATGGCGTAGGGCATTTCGGTATACCGCATCGGCCCTGCATAAGATAGAACATATGACACAGTGAGTTTGTCTAATATGTGCAAACACTGACATCATAAAAAATTGGCGTTAAATCCATTTACGGTGGAGAATGTGCTAATGGTGCTGTTTAGGCTTGCAGATTATAACCAAAATTGATTGTACTGAAACGGTTTTTTAAGTTTTCGGTTCAAAATTGGTTCAGCAGTCGGTTCAATTCAGAGGGATTATTTTGAATCATATTCAGTTTACAGTTCGGTTTGGTATGCCTAACCGTTCGGTTACACGATTTTTTTTAAATCAAAAGTATACCGAAAATAAACCGATTTCAACCCAAAACATATATTAACCCAAACTGCATCAATCGATTTTATCCGAATTAACTTGAGTTTAACAGACTTTATCCGATTTAACCAAGGAAACCTAGAAATCGGTTCAATTCGGTAGAATTTCATTAACCCAAACGGAACCGAACCAAATATTAATTCGGTAAATTTCGATGGTATTGTCTGGTAACCGAAAAACCGAGAGAACCAACTACATTCGGTTCGGTTAACCGAACTGCAGTCCTAGAGATGATATTAAATTCAAGGTAAATATAAGATTATGTACATCATTTTTTTGTCTTTTAAGAAGATTACGTACTTCTTCTAAAAGATTTTGAGTGCAAATCAACAAAACTTGGAAATGTTTGTGCGTACGATATTATGATTTAAAGTTGACATCACCATCTGAGAAAGTAGCTTTTGAGGTCAAGTTTCTATTCATAGAATCGGAATAGTCATAGTATGAGTGCTCACTCAAAGGCCCATTATGGAAAGCGATCGTAGATAAAAAAAGTTGTGGATGAATATTGCTGATAAAAAGATCACAAAGAAAGAAGCAATAGCAAACATGTACAAGGAGCTTGCTACGTTTGATTCCACTCCCAATAAAAAGTTTACGAAATGGAATTTGATAAAGCCTCCTCCATGGAGCATTTATTTGAAAGCTCTTATGCGTTAATCGTGCGAGCTTATTATGATCACAAGCTGATCCGGGATTTCGCGAAGCTAGTCTTCAAATATGAAATCCTACAGGTTCCAAAAGATCTTCCAACCTTTGCCATCTTCTTGAAGCTATGCATCTTGGAAAACTCATTGAACCTTTATCCTAATCTTTCATGTAATGTTTTAAATTTCAGTTGTATGAACTCACCTCTTATGAGGATTTAGATGAATGAAAGTTTCCTTTGCACAAAAAAAAAAAAAAAAAAAAGATAAATCAATTAAAGCATGAAGGCGAAGGAGCACTTTAAGTAAGGTTACAAAATCCATTCCAAATTGTATTTTTTTTTCTTGGATGCATTTTTATTGTAGAATAATAGAGGTGCTATGTTAATGGTAGTTCATTACTTCATGTATTATGATTTCCCATGTAATAATTTTACTCCCACATGTATTTTCTTTTTGTTTTGTTT